GAGGGAAGTGGTTATATGTGATTCAATTACTCGATATAATGGTGAGAAAAAATCTTAATCTTTCCCGCAAATTATTCAAGTGGGAATCAGGATGAAGAGCGTCAACATTGTGGGTGGGCCAAATCCGAGCGGTAAGAGCTAACAAAGTGAGTTCATGACAGTATTAACCGTGACTTGTCAAAAAATTGATAGGAGATTAAAGTAGGTCAGGGGTGTTTAATGTAACACATATAAAAACTCTTGAGAAAGAAGTCTACAACTATGAATGTAAGATTATACTTGCTTCCCCTTCATCAGATGATTGTAGGTGCAGTTTTATCCCAATAAAACTAAAGAGAGAGGACTCAAAGCCTTACTCTATGTGTTATTAATGATGTTCAAAATGTAGAAATCGCACTTTTATGCAGGTTATTTAAACAGCGGATGTAGTTATTGGGATAGTAACCAGACATGGCTGGAACAAAAATCTCTAGGAAAATACACCCGACAGCTTCTATTGGAAAAACACACCAAAAACGTAGTCTGAAAACCTAAACTGTTGACTTTAATGCACAGTCAATGTAGAAAATAGAGGAATTAGAGCTGACACAGTTGTGTTAGACAGAGTATTTCAGGCTTTGGTCTCCAGTGAAGGCCAAAGAGATATTCAGTTGATGTATGAACGTATTCCGCATGGTCTGGAACTCACAGTTCAGATACCAAGCAAAAGCCATCGTTAGAACCCTTGGGCAACTTGGCCTGTAATCCCACACTAATATTTTGCGCACTAATGCCAACTTTAAAAAGCAGCCATGTTGGACAAACACCATATCTTACTTAGAAACATCCATCAAAATAATTGTATCAACAAAGGAGAACTGATAAACATTTTCTGCCGATCTCTATGGAATTGGTGATAACTGAGGATCTCTAAAAAAACTGGGATATCTCGGACACGTGCAATTGCAATATAGGCTGACCTTATAGTATGCTTATTATAAAATATTTATTGCTATGTATTTCATAAATATCTATAGTGTATGTCTTGGCTGCACTAAACAATCAAATCCAATAATATTAATACTACAAAGTATTTTTATTTTCACTATACACCTAATAAATATCAAAATACAAACCGAATTCACACGCATGTTTGATAAATATCTTAAATTATACATTTTACCATAACAACCACGAAGTCACATGAATCGCTTATCTTATATCATATTCTTATATAAGACATTGGTTAATGCTATTACATGTCATACGTCAATTGAAATAAACTGACGCACACCAGTACGCCATTACATGTTGCATAGTGTTTGTTTAGGGTACATTTTTGTTTATTTACTTAAATGAGCCGCAAGATTTTGATTTATGAAACATATACAATATATTCTTTCAAATAGTTTGCCATACATATTTGACAATGACTTTGAGTGACTAAACAGACGAAAAGCCAATCTTCGGACAGACGTAGATTACTAAACAAGAATGTATTACCTGATCAATGTAGAATATAACCGAACGTTTGTTGATGTCGTAACTTTGGAATGGCGCCTCATTATTTTTCATCTGTAAACAAACATGAAAGTGTTAATAAAACTAGTTATATTATTACAGAATCAGACTTATAGAACTAAAGTATAAAACAAATGTTGTGTGAGTGTACTCCATGTCCACCGTCAAGCCATGTCAGAGATATGACTTTGGAACAACCATTTAGCCGTCTCTAATTGCACAATGGAACAATATGTACATCTGTATATGTAAAGATTGAATGTCCGCCACTCTTAAAGTTGTTCACGA